CTACCAAGTGAGTTCCAGGAAAGGCGCAAAAGCTACACAGAGAAACCCTGTCTCGAAAAACCAAAAAAAAAAAAAGCCTAGTCCTGGAGACCAAGGCTTCAGCTCACAATGGGAGTTGGGGTCTGACTTCCTCTGGGCTACTGGAGGCAGGTGGTGGGAACTAAAAGATGAAGCCTAGAGAGGTCTGAGTCAGTGAGCGCATGTCCTGCAGGATACCAGCTGTCCGCTTCCTGTCCCTTTCTACCACCACCACCACCACCACCACCACCACCCACCCCCGACCCCGCCAGGACATGAACAGCTTTGATCCATCTCATAGTCCCAAGATGCACTGCTTCACGGCACCAAAACCAATGGGGCCGACTGCTCAGGACCCAAACCTCCAAAACCGTGAGCCAAAAACAAAACAAAAACAAAACACACCACCTTTCCTCTTTTAAGATGATAAACTCGAGTATTTGTCACAGTGGAAACTGACCGACACATCTGTATAATCGAAAACAACTGCCCTTGCATTTGCTTTAAACAGGCCGTCCTGTACTCCTCCCAAGGCTAGGGGCACAGCCTGTTCATCAGGCCCAGCCCAGGGGCCTTGCTTTTCCTATCTTTTTTTTTTTTAAACTCACTCCCACTAGTTATGTACATTAAAAAAATCCACAGAAATAAAATGAAAGAGCTTGGGGCTAGGTATAGTAACTCTGACTGTAATCCCAACACTTGGGAGATTGAGGCAGGAGGATTGCTTTAAGTTTGAGGCCAGCCTGTGCTACATGAGATCCCGGAGGAGCAGGTGTCAGCATGTCACCACGGGCCTGTGATCCTAGCACTTAGTCCAAGGCCAGCTTCATCTACAAAAAGAATTTGAGGCCAGCCAGGGCTACAGAGTGAGACCCTATATAAAACCACCACACAACCCAGAAACAGCTCGAGTTTTGATACAAGCAACACGAAGAGCCCAGTGCGCTTGAGCCCACCCTGGGGCACTGCTTGACGCTGCAGCTAACTTCTTACCGATTTCACTTCCTGGGCTGTCAGCTGGCCAATCCCCAGCTTTGCCAGAGCCCTGTCCAGCTGGTGAATCTCAGTGGTAAGACTCTTTAAACGCCATCTCAACAAGGGGGAAGGCAGGTGAGGTGTGAGGAGCACAGCTCGGCTCAAGGCTCTCTGTGACACAGCAGGGTAGGAAGAACATGAAATGGTTTTACTTTACAGCCGAAAACACAGGGAGCCTGTGGACACAAAGGGCCTCAGCGTGCTCACCATCTGCACAGCCTGGAGTTGATTCAAGCCCAGGGGATGAGTAGAGAAGCACTCTCTGAGAGGCAGGATGTCATGAGCTGTCGGGTGGGTACCGTTCCGCACCTTGTAAGAAGTAAGAAGTGGGTAGATTTTAGAGACCCTGATCAGCTGCTCCTAACCAGCTCTTGTGCACAGCGACCTCCCGGGTCCAGCTGGAGAAAGGCTTGGCTAGAGCAGTACCTTGATGCCCAGGTCTGTCAGATGCCACCGAAGCCTCTCATCGGAAACCAGAGTGCTGGCCCTTTCTAAGTAAGTAATGACCTCTGAGTGGGCCTGCTTCCGGAGACTGTGATAAATATCTAAGAAATCAACTTGTTGTTTGGGGGTCCAGAAATGCTTGACAAGCAGTTGCCTGGGAAACAGGTACCTACAAGGAAAAAGCATCACAATGTCACTTTCCGAAAGTGGACTAATCAGGCATCTGGCAGAGACATGCCTCTCTGCCCAACACTCTCTCTGCTGTAAGTCTCAGCCCACGTCTTGGCATGGTTGCAGGTGGCGTTACTGAAATGTGGCTGCAGAGAAAGCCTGGCTGCAGCAGTCAGATCAAATGCCTCCTTCTGAACTAAAGCAGGTAAAAGAACATTCTCAGGCCGGGCAGTGGTGTCACACGCCTTCTGTAATCCCAGCACTCGGGAGGCAGAGCCAGCCTGGTCTACTGAGTAAGATCCAGGACAGGCACCAGAACTATACAGAGAAACCCTGTCTCAAAAAACAAAAACAAACAAACAAACAAAAAAAAGAACCTTCTCAGGACAGTTTCATACAGAGCTGGATGCTGTGTGACGCTGACAACCTACCCCAGAACAGTCATATGGACACAGCATTAAAAAGGCCATGGATGTGCTCTGTAATTCAGTTACCCACATGTAAGGGAGCTTTTTAAACATGGCTACAAATCCTCTAGTGCTTCTTTCATGGGCAGGCAAGGGTTATTTCCCTCTTCGTTTTTTCCCCACTCTGGGTGATTAATTCATACAACAGAGCAGAAAAGAGTCGATAACCTCTAAGACTGAGATATCGAAAGCACAGGTAGGTGTTACGGCACTGGGAGCGAGGCGGACAGACTTTGTGAGGTCCAAGACCGCCTCCGTGGTGAGGCCTTGGGCTTTGATTTTAAAAAGTCTTGTGCTCGTTGGCCCACTCGTCCCTGGAGCTCCGGCTGTGTCTAAGAAGCGCCACCAAGCAGGCTACCAGCCTGAAAAGGCTGTCCGTCTCCCAGTGTTCCCATCAAAACACCAGACAGAGTGAGCTCAGGCCCCCCTCTGGTTCACCCAACAGCTAACCACCACTGTCGAGCCTGTCAACAAGTAAGAAAGCCCATCATTCTCCTGAGCCCTGTCCAATACTTGATTGTTTTTCCTTTCGTTTTTTAAGACAGGGTTTCTCTGTGTAACAGTCTTGGCTGTCCTGGAACTCGCTCTGTAGACCAAGCTGGCCTTGAACTCACAGGAATCAACCTGCCTCTACCACCCTCCCAACCCACCCCCCCACCCCTGGCCAAATACTTTCTTTTGAAGTCTGGTTTTGTTTATTTTATTTTTGATTATGTGCATGTGAATGCAGATGTTCAGAGCCCAGAAGAGGATGTCAGATCCCCTGGAGCTGGA